CTGCTTCTCCTCCTCTGCTCCTCCTTCTCTCTGGCTGTGTCCTTGTCATTCCTTTCTTGCAGAGTGTCTCAGCCCAAAGCAGATAACTGATTGCAAGTGTTGCAAAGAAAAGGCTCACAGTACCAGGAATGGCCTTTAAACAGGTAAAAGTTACCTCTAAGTATTTATTTGCAGCAGATAAGACTGTTTCAGAGGACAATGTTAAAGGAAAACTTAGATAAACAAGATGTACACTGTAAAACATGATTTAAGATCTTAAATAATGTCAAGAGGTCTAGGACTTTTCATCCAGATCCATCTCGTCCTCTTTTTTTTCCTTTAGGGTTAATTCGACAGCAGTACTTTTCAAACCCACCAGGGCAATGTACTCCACCCTAGTGAGCATTAACTCTTAACTCTCTTCTGCTGACTCACTGTCTGAGAATGACAAAGGCCTATCATGGAACCCACATGAAGGTCCTCAAGATATATTTGTATGGAGCTGCTAAGAATCCTTATTTATTTTATTGCCTGATTTGAAATTTAAAAAAAGTTATTCTTTCTCATCCTCCCTACCCCACTTTGAATCTTTCCAGAGGCAGACTCAGTCTCATATACAGTGTAAGTCTGTTTCCTAAACTTTCATATTGCAAATATATTAACATGAGAAGAAATGCTATAGAATAGAAAACTGTCCTCCCAATTCTCCTCAGGGGTAATTTGAACATCTCTTCTCCTTCTGATTATTTTGGTAATGGGCAATTACCATGGCTGTACAGGTAACTGGCATCCAGTTGACTTTGGTTTTGACATTCCAGGTTCCAGATGCTTACCACATACCAAATATGATTAGCTGCCGAAAAGCCAGGAATATAAATCAGAAAATATATACTTTGTGTATGTGTGTGTGTAAAATATCACAATAGCAATAAATACTTGGCTATTGCACTGAGCAAAAGCAAAGAACAAAGCCCGCTTTGAGGTAAGACCACCAAAAAGAAAAAGTCTGCAAAGACAGCAATAGGTAAACTGAGACCAAGGCATGCAATGTATTGCTTTTGCAAATCCTAGGCTCTTTGAAAAGAAGTTGATTATTTCCAAACCATTAGAATTAATCAAATATTAGCCATTTTCTCATTTCCAGGGAAGATCATTAATAGATAAATCACATGTCCAGGCACCTGTCACTCTCTGTACTCCCACCATCGAAATCATTCTGAACTCAGGAATTCAAGAAATTCTGATACACTTTCAAATAACTATCTGACTAGCCAGACTATAGCCACTTGTTACTTGACATTCAGAACCAAATATATTCAGAGAGTGAAGAATACTCGTCATCACTATTTTTTTTAACTGTATAATACCTTCAGCTTTAAGTACACATTTAGAGACAGTACATTGAAAAGAAATCAAAAAGTATGCCCCCAAAGGCTCCATCTTGAGCAAATAAACCATTTTTGAGATAATTCTTTTGGCAATTGCCAGCAACAAGGCTCCAGTAAACGAAACATCTTTGGCTCTAATAGGACTATAGGCCACCCAGGCCCTAAAGCTGTCATTAGAAATTAATAGGGCTGAATGAGGGATGCCGATTTTCACGGTTAATGGGTTTGATTAGACTATAGATATTACTAATGTGCTTGTAGTAAAAATTCCTATGTTTTGTATGAATTAGTTTACTTACTAAATCTTACCATTAGTGTGTTTCAGTCTGTACCATTCTAAAAAGTATAGTATAATCTATTGTTACACTTTGCAAATTATTCCAGAATGGGTCAAGTGTGGTGAAATTTTCTGAATTGAAGTTTGTTCCAAGAAAGTTGAAAATTTATGAGAATGATGTAACTAGAAGGCATCTGGTTACATACTTCGTCTCGAGAAAACTTTGATCTAAAATATTAGGATGATAATGCTGCCCACTGCTTTTGTACCACAGAAATAGCATGAGTATTAGAGGAAAGTTATGAAATCAAACATCCTAATAACAGTTTCAGATGGACAGAAGAGAAGCTGAGTAAGAAGCAGGCAGGCCCTTGTGATTATTTTGATAATGGGCAAAGACCTGTCTCCTGATTCATCATATCTATGTCTACTAACTGAACAAGACATAGATATGAGCGAGACAAAAGAAGAAAGTGTCTCCCACCCACTCCCAGAATAAGGATATATGTGATTGAAAACTGCAGTACGATAAAGATGTTTCAATCTGCCTAGCACAATACTCAAAAAAAAAAAAAAAAAAAATCTATTAGCTGAGCCTCTGCTACAACTTCCTGTTGCCAAGAAAATGTAAAATACCAGAAGTACCACCAACACAGAGGGTTCTTACAGCATCAGACAGAGTGCCAAGGTGCCAGACCATAACGACAAAAGATACCTGTTACAAAGGTTTCATAGTTGAAGGTATTACCAACAAATATGGAGAACAACATTAGGAGAGACCCATCGATTGTACTATAGAAACAATACTTTTCTTACTAAAAGGATTATTTTAACATTAAAACTAAAATAACTTTGGAGAGATTTTGGTCACCTCTGCAGAACTGTTATACCATTCATTACAGCATTATAGGGAGAAAGAAATAATAACTGTGGTCTCAGAAATAAAATTCTGCTCCAGGAAGGACTATGCTTTCCATTGGGTACTATAAGAGTGATATCTGAGGCCTCTGAGATGTAGAAAAGCTACACAAATACAGAAGGCCTGAAAATAAATTTGTTGATTACACAATTGCAAAAAAATTTTTCAAAAAAATAAAAACATATTTAAATGCATAAAGGAAACATTATATCAATGTCAATTATTAAATTGCTTTGTACATTTGAAAACAATTTACAGCGTACAATGTCTCGCTTAGCAATAATGAATATTTGCTGAGAGAATTTTAAAACAAAATTATAGAAGTAATTTAAAAAATGTTGACAGCAAAAATATATTTATTATGTCATCCAGATGCATTTTAATATGGTTTATATGATGTAGGGCCCGTGGTGGTCTATGAAGTTCTTAGAAGGCCTTACTTAAGAGCTCATATGCGGTGAATTGAACACAATCTTATGGGAATTCCTTTTTATTCTAACTGAAAAAAACCAGTTTGAATTTTTGGGCAATGCTGGAGAACGAGACAGAAATCAACAAATAACTTTTAAGTGTTCATCTGATACTTTGACCCTGCACTCATGGCTCACGCAAAGAGTTGAGTTGTTGGCAAAACCACATGGGCAGATGGTTATCAAGCAAGCTGAGGATATCTCTTCAGAGAGGCTCTTCCATGACAGGGAAGACTCTCATTCATATGGAATGGTTAAAATGCAGTCTTGTCGGAAGATAAGGGCCTGAACTACTTTTCCAAGATCTAATCCTAGCCAATGGTTCCAGAGAAAAATATATATTCTCATATGAATGAAGCATAAAACTTAAAAGTAATAAGGCAACTCTTTAGCACGCTGAGATAGGAAATAAAGAAGTGTGCATTTATCACTGTTGAGAGGTGGGTACAGGAGATGGGAAATGCATGAGAACTGCCCACGTGAAATCCAAACCAGAAACAAGAGGGGCAAAACACGTATTCCTTATGGGCAACAATGGCCTTGGGAACAAAATATAAACATGTCGAAGACTATATTTCATTTGCATTTGTAAAGTGCCTACAGTTTCAATGGCACTCACATACACGATTGCCCAGGATCCTCTCGACTGAAAGGCAGGATGTATAGATGGGGAAGCCGTACCTCAGGAAGACTACAAAACTTGTCCTTGGTCACACAGCAAGGAAGTAGAACTTGGACTCAAACAAACTCCTACTTCTATCTTCCAGGTCTCTCTCAAGCTAATTCTTAAGAGAGATAAGCAGAGACTGAGGAAAGATGGGAATAGAACTGTAAATTCTCCAAATGCTAATTTAAGAACCTTATATATAAAATAACTCGTATGAAGAAAATGACACATCGGTGTAGAGCAGAGAAAACCAAGTGGAGATGAAGTTCTTATGTATAGGGATTTGAAAGTCCAATGAGCTAATGGGACATAAAGAAATATCCTGGCCCATTATGTGCTGAATAAAACCATGGCCAGATGACTGGCATGCATTATAGAGAAAGAACATGACAGAGTGTTAAAAAAAAAATTAAAAAACAATCTCATGCAATACTCATGTTGACAGAGCATTCTGTCACTGTGTTGGTGCAAAAAAAAAAAAAAAAAGTATGGGTGTGGGGTAGGAAGGCACACACAGTTACTGCCAGGCCCAGGCAAGCACATACCATTTTAAGGAAAGGAATCTGTTCCATTATATGAAAAAGAATTATAAAAAAAAGGAATCTTCATCATTCGAAAAATGACAGTGAGAAAAAAAAGACCTTCTAATTTTGCTGATGTTTAACAGAATCATACTGATGTTTTCACAGAACAAATCTGACTTCTATTCTAATCCAGAAATGGCAGAGAATTTGAAAGGGGTGAGAATACTCCCTGCCCCTACTTTTAATAGGGTCATTAATGTTCCTTTCTGGCCAAAATCTGAGTATCAAAGTCAATGTGACATTCAAGACAGATAGAATACTCAGTACAAGGAGAGAGGTAAGAGCTCAACAAGTTTTGCAAATGATCCAGTTCTTCATTTGTTCTTACTGCATCCAACAAACTAAGGAGAAAGATAATGAAAAATGCAATGATGACATACGTTTTGCAAAAAGAAGCAACAAAAACAGAAAAAGAAGCATTATAGCAACATTACGTTACCAATGAGAAAAATGTCAATTTGGAATAAGGAAGAGAAGTTAGTGGATGGAAAAGTAATCAAAGAAGGAAAAACAATCTTGCTGAGAAAGTACAGAGTTAGAAAACAAACACTGGAACAGATCACAGAGGAGGCTGTGGTGGGTGAAGACGACTGGATGGTGTCTCCAACGGCACAGAGAGCAAAAAGCCTGCATCACAGGAGACTGTGGCATGGGAACAGCTGCCCACTCACTCTTTCCTGGTTAGGTTATTTTCAAATTTATATCCTGCCAGAGGATGCATTTGAAAAAGAAAACAGTACCTTCAATTCTACCTCCAAAAAATAATTTTACCCAGTTTTTGTTTTTTTGTTTTTTTTTAATCAGTTGAAACTTAAGATACTGAAGAGCTAGAAATTCTGTTCATAGCTAAAGTCTTGAAATGTATGTTACTGTTTGGCTCTTTTGAGCCCCACTAACTCACTACTGTAAGAAAAGAGATCTATAAATAACACTCTAAAAGAAAAGTTCATACATTGCTGATGAAAAACATTAACAACTTAAAAAAATGATGAATCAAACCAAGGCAGACAATTATTTGTTCTCATTTGTATACCAGTTGCTCTGATCTCAAATTTAGCACTTGCCACTCATTTTATCATCTAAATGTTTCATCTAAATATAAATTAACTGTTTCTTCTAAAATACGAACACCCACTCTAAGACATGGGAACCATTTCGTGAATAGATTGATGGTTAGTTGGAAGCTGAATCATGTTAACTACATTCAGGAGGACAGGACTAAATATGAAATCTCAAAAGAATGTTCCCACATGTCTAGAAGTGAATGAAACCCCAAGGAAAAGCACTAACTGCTAGGGAAGTCAGGGACCTTAGAAGATGTCACCCACCAGAGGTAACCCAGAATTATGATGACCAGAGAACCTCACGTCGGGAGTGTTTGATGACACAGCCATGCTCTTTGCATACCCAGCTGTTACATTTCTTTTACTGCTAGAAGCCTGGCCAAAAACCACAGGGGAATTATGAGTTCTAGAAAACTTCCTTGTTGACATCTGCTAAG